ACAGAAATGCAGCTTCCAGGAAGGTGAAGAAGAGACTGCCAAAAGAAGCATCTCACAGCTGTGTTCGCAGCAGCTGGATCCCCTCTCTCACAGCTGCCCCGTACCAGAACTGCCCTCCAACCCAGGCAGCTCATCCCTGCTCAGGGGGCAGAGGTTGCAGAACCTGGGGGTGCATATGGGGCCCTGTTGCGAGATTTCTCTTGGACTTCTGTCTTTCATCTTTACTCTCTGCCTATGTCCATGATCGAAGTCACAAAACAAACTCTGCTGTTTGCCTCATCTTATACATGAAAGGATCCAGAGTGAGGCAGGGAGTAATGCTCCCCAGTCAGGATTTGCAGCAGCTAGCACAATGGGATGACTGAACCAGCCAATCACAAATGACAGAAAAAGAGGTGTATCTAAAGCATTTTTCCTATGTGGGTCTATTTAGTGGCTTCAGACACCAGAACCAACTCCCATTTTAAAGTGTCTTCATTTTATCAGGATTACTTAGGAACATCTTTCACGTAGAGGTCAAATTTTTGAGCTCTAACCCAGGACCTGGGAAACCCTGCATTCCAGTCGTATTGCAGCTGGACAGGGTTTGAACTCACATTTAACGCTCTTAAAATGTTTATAAGGTTTTTTTAATATCCCCTTTTGAATATCCACTACCAGAAAGGGAACAGACCAAAAAAAGGTATCTCCATATGCCCATTTCATAGCATAGAGAGCTTGTCTTCTAATTACCTACCTACCTATGTATTTTCTTTCATTTCTGAGGTGATGTGTGTCCTTTGAGGGCTATAAAATTATTTTGAAAACTATTAAACAGCAGTGGATTCACTGACACCAAAGTACCTCCCAGCCAAAATGCAGACATTTGGACTGGCTGGCTCCATAGAAAATGATGGTTTCTGTCCTGTTTCTTGGCAACCTGACAGCAGCTGTGATGGACACTTGCTGTCACTGCAAATATCAAAAGGGTTACATCTTAATAATTGTATACTTCTGTTTTATTATACGTTCTGCTAAAAGATAACTGTATGTCTACATAAGCATGTAATGTTAATAATATAAAATACCTGAAGATCTGCTCTAATCTCAAAATATTTATCCACAATCTCTTTGTTATGGAGTTCAATTCCTTTTCCATAGATTCTGAGTACAAGACAGATGGCATTTCACAGTAGAAACCAGATAGGATATCACATAGAGAAATGAGTAACACATGGTAAATTCAAGTCTCTTCCTGACTGTGGCAGATCATAGCAACATTTTCCCCAAATACTTGTGCTGTTTTGTATTAGTGCAGAATTTCAAAGCTTTTTTCAGATGGTGATTATCAGTGTCTTAATTTCAGAAATAGCACAGATATGTCCTTAAACAAAATTTGATTATGATAAACTTAAACATTTTGTTTTCTTTGTGATTTTTTTGTCTGAAATGAGCTAAACTTCACAGACTGAACTGGAATAACAATACATCATGTGGCAGTCCACATCTGAACTGCTTTCCAGAAACACGTGTCTACAAAGACATCCATCAACGTGCAAAATTTGTAATGTGGAGAACTAATGCTTCCAAAAATAAGGATACAAAGATGCTGACTACTGAATATACTAAATTAATATCTTCTACCTAATAAAGCAGGTTTCAAATAGGCTTACATTAGTCTCACAGAAGACATTAACTTACTTCAAAAATAGTTTGCAACCATGACTCATTGTACACAAAGCTGATTTTTTCCACTTCTACTAATACGACAATTATAAATTATCCCAGTCCCTGAAGAACTTAAATAAAAATCTGGCAACCAAGATAACATATTACATGACTAGCTGCAGGGATCCAAGTGTGTGTGGTTAGTTTTTTTCTTTAGTTCCTACCACCGCAAGTTTCACGTGCTGTTACACTGGTAAGTACATCTTACTGATTGTCAAGATTGGGCCACAAAATAGGTTAAGGATGCACCGGGTATTTCTGAAATAATCTATTTCCTGTAACACATTTATTTTAATGTTAATGGGAGGGCTCTCTAATTCAAGGCCTTTTGGCACGCACAGACCCTGGCACCAGATGCAGTCTGGGCCCAGCAGCCAGGGTCAGCATTACAAAATTAAAGCGTAAATTTCAAAATAAAAACCATGCATAAAATCTAACTATTCTTTTGAGGTGTAGCTGCAAAAGGCTCTGAATCAAAAGGTATTTATTTAGGCACAGGCAATACCGATTGACTCTTGAATGAAGACCCAGCCTTGTGAAGCACAGGACAGGGATAAAAAGACCTCAGCTGTGCCAGGCATTTTTCAGCAGCCTGAACTCGGCAACACCTGAGGGTTCCTTGCCCACACCTTGAGATTACCAAGTCCAACAGCTAACCCAGCACTGCCAAGGCCACCACTAAGCCATGTCCCCAAGCACCACATCTACACATCCTTTAAATACCTCCAGGGATGGTGACTTAACCACTTCCCGTTCCAGCACTTGACAACCCTTTCAGTGAAGAAATTTTTCGTAATACCCAACCTAAACCTCCCGTGGCACAGCTCGAGGCCGTTTCCTCTTCTACCGTGGAGACGAGTCCGATCCCCACCCCACCACAGTCTCCCTTCAGGTCGTTGTAAAGAGAGGCGCAGCTGAGCTGAAACCTGTGATGTTCTGTTTTCTGTGAAAGGTGGAAACTGGCAGCGCAGGTGTCACGGTGACAGACCCAGACCTGCTGCAGCGACAAACGGGGCAAAAACGTGGGCACCCCGGGAACGGCAGCTGCCTTCGGAAATGGTCTGACGGGCACATGGCCACACGGAGTTCTGGTTTCCGTGGAAGTGAGGAAGAAGTGTGGGGAGCGGGACAGGGACGGATACACCGTGGGGCGCGGTAAGATCAGCCGTGCCTGGCTCCTTCCTCAGGAACCCCGAGGAA